TCATGTGTTTGCCTAGTCTGTCAGGAGAATTCACACCATATCTGATTTTAGGAATTTACAAAAAAGTGCTGAAAAGGGTAATATTCTCTGTTGCTGTTTTCCTCTATTTTTATTGGAGCCTCCAATAATTAAATAAATTTCCTGAATGTTTGACTAGAAAGTGGTATTTCTCAATTTCTTCCCAACTCTCAGAAAGTATAAAGTCATCTTACTGATATAAATAGAAGGACCATGTATGACTTTTCCGATTACGAATTCTGAGATTGATAGCCAGTCTATATTTAGAGGCCAGCTTACATTCAGAGTGTGGCACTTCACTCATTTTGCAATTTTCAGCAAAGGTCGACAACACCTTAGAGGAAATTATATTTTAAGAATAACACTTTAGCTGAAAACAAAGAAACCTCAAGTCAAATTAAAATATAATCTCATTTTAGGGGAAAAAACCATAGCGGGCAGAGGCAGACCCGCTCTCCTGCTAAATACAAAAACAAGAAGAGGAAGAGAGAAAGTTGGTTCTCCTCAGGCACTCGCAGAACACCACTATGCAAGATGCAGGAACAGCAGATGCACATGGTTTAGACTCTAGAGTTTTTTCTAGAATCATCTATAAAATCAGACCATCTGATCCTTCCCTTATGAACTGACCCAGTTTTAGAATTAACAACACAGACTTTTGTCCTTCTTTGGCTGGAATCTCCTTCCTATTTGGGGGAAAATGTCAAGAGAGTAAAGACTATTCATATTAGACTCTGCCTGCAGTGTGATATAGGTTGTTTTCTCTTGCCCAGCCTCTCATCCTTTTAGTGTTCCAGCCCAATTTCTAAGCCTGGGGCTCCAGCTTTACAGCAGGTTCTACCCAATATCCTTCCTATAAATTCTTGTTCTGCTTGAATTAACCTGAATCAGTTTCTATTTGCAACCAAGAATTCTAATTGGTACCTAGTCCAACCTCTAAATGGAGCAGAAATTCCATATGTAATGCCCTTGACAGATGGTCAGATTGTCCATGAGTATTTCCAGCCATGGGGAACACCCGACATCCCAAGGCCAGCTGTTCCTCTGCTGGTTAATTGCAGCTGTTATAAAGGGGTTTCCTCCACTGACGTGAAATGTGCCTCCTTTCAACTTCTACCAGCTGCTCTGTTGGTCTTTGGACTGATCCACAGGAAGATGGCACCTTCTTTGATACTATAACCTTTTGAGTATTTGTAGATAGTTATCTTCATCTTCTGTTCTTCATTTCTGGTTTCAATGAAAACCTGCATAATCCTGGTCACTACCTTCTAGAACCCACCTTGTTGCTGTCAATATTTTTGACTGCATTCAAAGAAAAAAAAAGCCAGTGGTTTCCCAAGTATATGATGTATATCGTTGGTGGTAGAAGACAATTAAATGACATTGAATCATACAGTGAAAAATTTACTTTCTTTTTACTATTCTTTTAGGAAATCTCTCATTATATGATTCTATCAGAGAGTTTCAAGTTTGGAATTAGCATTTCATTAACACTTTTCTATCATTGGTCGACATCTCCTCAATTATTTAATGACATGGTTTTCTTTTAATTTTATTTACTTTTATGGAAAGCAGTATCAGTTTTCAACTTATAGCAATGATATAACTTTTGTCTCTTTAATTATAAGTACAAAATTAAGTAAATTTAAAGAAAAATATAAAGTAAATGATATTAAAGGGGATATGCTGGAATGGCAAAAAGTCGTGATGGTGGATGTTATTGACTAACGCTTGGGAAACACTTTAGAAATAGCTTGTGCACTGCAGAATAAAATGTGGCTACTCCTTTGATCTAGACCCTATACCTCATTACTTAAGCCCTTATTCTGCTATCTTTATTTTTTAGCAGTTATTTAGTATCATTGGTTCTTATCAGGAATGACTTGTCTACTTACTTCCAGTATCTAGCCCTAAAAAATAGTTTTTTGTGTCTCTGGCAGACTGTTAAGGCATCTATCCTCTTCTTCATTCTGAGGTCCTGTGTTTCCATCAGATATTCTTCCATTATTCTTCAAAATTTTATCAGTCCTATTTCTTGGCCAAGATGGTTTTGAGTCCCAAAATAGAGTAACATATTCAGTGTCCTTATCAAAAGCCCTTTTCCCAAGACCCCACTGAGCAAGAGATCTGGGAGTGCTGACTTACCTGTGGCATGTTCACGTAGACCTACATCAAAGGCAAGTTTATCTGTCTGGGATCTTGATGTAGTCAAACACGTTAGATACTGTGAAACAAGAACAGATGCTAGTGAAGTCACACTCTTCCACTGGGTTTTGGTATCTTACCACTAGTCAGCTTCCAGTTTGTTTTAACAAAGAGCTCCTGTGAAAAGGGCTCATTTATCTTTCAGTGGAAAGTTAGTTGGTACGATGCTTTGGGGAAATATTTTATAATACATTTAAAACCTCAAAAATGTTCCTATTTAGTGACTCAGTGATTTAACTATAGAACTCTATGTTACAGAAACAAAATTGAAATATTAAAGATGCTTTAATTCAAAGATATTCTGAGAAACATTTAACTTACGAGCAATACAAATGGAATATAAATGACTAACAATAATGGAAATGCTAGATAAACTCTGGTACTTCTATTTTGTGGAATATTATAGTAAGAGTATTTGTCAAGAGTGTGTAATAGCATGGAACATTGTTTATCACACATTGAGCTAAAAAAAATGGTATACATTATAGCACATTTATATGGTTACCGTGTACACAAAAATTTAAATGCCTAGCAACCAGACTAAAAGGAATTACACCAAAATGGTAACAGAAGTTTTCTTTGGATGGTGGGTAGTGGGGATTGGAAACCATAGATGATTCCCCCACATCTACTTATTTCCTGCTTTTCAAATTTTCTATGAGCTTTAAAAGTTCTCAAAAGAATGATTATGGTTTTTTCTGATTATAAAAATAAATGTGGAAATAAAACTTAAAAGTCATTTAAAAAATAACTTAGTAAAGGAGAGAAAACCCTGGCCTGTTTCCTGCCTCCTTCATTAATGGGCACAGTGGCATGTCTTAGGGAGGCAGGTAAGCACAGGGATGTGCTTTCTGAGCTGTACTTCTAGTTCTCGGCAAGAGGAAGATGGAAAATCCTTGTCTTGTACAAAGTCATAGCTCACAGGCTTTATTCCCAGAACTGCTCTTAAAAGCAACTAGCTACAATGCAGTTTACGGTAATTGTGAGTGGGATTATTTTTAGGAGGGGTGAACTTAACAATAAATAATGTCAGCCTTGGATCTCTACAGGATGTGAGCCTGAGTTTTTGAAACCATGAGAAATGTGAAGTTCTGTTTATACTACTTGGGAAGAAAAAGAGAGGTGTTGGGGTTTTATTTACCTTCTGGATAAGTACCAGATTCTGAAAGATAAATGAGCAACTCTCAACTCCAGAGACTATCAGGGTAAAAAGTTTCTCCACTCTCAAAAATGTCCCCATCTCCTACTTGAATACCCTTCCATTTGGTCATTTTTGTTCTCTGTCTTTTGTCACAAAGAACTACAACAGATAAATGTTCAGGCTGAAAAGGTCAACTTCTTGCCAGCGCTTAGAAAAAAAAAATGCTGCAATAAATTATTTGAGAAGCAGCTGTTGCTCTTGCCACCAATTTCATAGTTCAACCTTTGAGATGAGATTTGCAGCATGCTGTGGGTGTAAATGTGAGAAAATAAGTATTGAATTAATGTACCAGTTTTCCACTAAGGCTAGTCAAAGAAGACAAACCATCCTTACATGGATAGCAAGTGAGGATGATACACTTAGGAACTGAGAATAAATGTGATTGGGGTGGACACACATCATTCTAGTTTGAGATCATAATATTCTTCTTAATACTTTCTGTGAAAGATTTGCAATATCTGTATTTTACAAAATATATTTATTTGAAACTCGCAAATTGTTTTCAAGTTACACTGAGTTATCACCATTCTGCTTAATTCTGGTTCTACCTGCCTGGTTAGTTATAGCCTGATCAGCTTTCTGTGGCTACCTTGTCCCTTATCTTCCTCCTGCCTCTGGATTAACATAATACCTTCAAATTCATCCAGGACTGAGGCAATAGATATCATACCATTTCTTTTAGCTAGGTGAAAGAGGAGAAATATCACAAAAATCCCACTTGATTGGCATTTCTTTTATGCTGGTTATCCTTGTATACTAAAGAAACCAGTCACTCCATAGTTCATTTGATCACTTATCAATTCAACTAATATTTACTAAGCATCTAGTACAAGGGCACTTCCAAAAGTTCATGGAAAAATGGAATTAAAAGATAATGAGAATCTTTCCATGAACTTTTTTTTTTTTTGTCTTTTTTTGTGACCGGTAAGGGGATCGCAACCATTGGCTTGGTGTCGCCCGCACCGCGCTCAGCCAGTGAGCGCACCGGCCATTCGTATATAGGATCTGAACCCGCGGCGGGAGCACCTCTGCGCTCCCAAGTGCTGCACTCTCCCGAGTGCGCCACGGGGCCGGCCCTTTCCATGAACTTTTTGAAGACCCTTGTATGTCAAGGCACTGTACTTAGTGGGGTCAAGTTTAGTGAAATAAAAAAAGGACAAGGTTCTTTTCCTCACGGAGTTGGGTTGGAGTGTCAACATTAAGCAAACACAAATATGTAACAGCAAATCGAGGTAGGTGATAGGAAATGATAAAACAATAGTGTGCTATCATGATTTATATTCTATATTGCCCCTGCTGTTAACTTGGAGGTGCTGGCTTCCTGTGCTCCCCTCGCCCCTCATCTTTTCCTCCTCCTTGAACAGTGAAAGCGGACGTCCAGGCGTGCTTACCATTCCGCTGAAGGAGTGCCTCAGGAGAATCGCGTGGCCGTACAGCAGCGTCCTGTGGCCACCCCCTTGTGCCGCCTGTGGGAACGAGGAAGGGAAACATCAGCACGTGCCAGTTGTGGTTTCTCAGAGCAAAACAGCATGAGAGTGCTGGGAGACAGACTACAAGGGAAAGACCCACTGCAAAACTTCCAAGGAATTCATTCTAGAAGCAAGTGACCAGCCTGCGGGTAGAAGAAGACTGGTGACCACAGCCACGCAACATCCTTGGGAGAGGGCATGTGGAGCCAAACCTCCTTTCAGAATTGGCCCCTGCCCAGGATCAGCAGAAACCCACAGCTGTCTGCCAGAGAAGCACGTGAACGAGACAGGTACTGCTTACCTTCCTTTGAAACTTCTCAACAGCGTTAAGAGTGAGCGAGAGCAACAAACATGATGTAACTGAAGCCTAGCGACAGAAAGGTGCAGGGCCGACGGGCACATGGCCACGTTCTGTGCCTGGGTCTTTTCCCTTCAAGGCACTTGTGCCTTCTGCCCGCTCACTGAAATGGGCCCACTGACAAGGTCTCACCAATGAGAGATGGCTCTGCAATCCGGCACGTTGAAAGCATTGCCGGTCATAGATCCATCAGTTGGGAGACCATCAAGGTATCTCCTGCACCTCAGGAGGCAGCTCCACGTAGGCTGTTTGCTCAGTGGCTGCCCCAGCAGTGGAAGAGGGAGGCACGAGAGGAAGAGACCGCCCAACAGAAAGCCGCTGCTGTCTGCTCCTTACCTTTTCCCTTAACCTGATTCACACATCTCTTATGCTGAGCTGAACGGTACATGATATGAGACAAAACTATCGTTTACTCTAGTCACAGGTGAGTAGTAGCATGGAAAACTGAAATCTACAGAAAATTCTGGAATTCTTTGGCATCACCATTTCCAACACCTCTTTCTTAGGTCTCTCCTCATCATACTAACCTGTCCTCGGTCAGTCAAAATTTTTTGATCACACATCCGATGCTTTTAGGAGAAAATATTTGAGCACAGGCTCTCCCTTCCCCAAACACATTCAAAAAGAGAATCCAAAGTCTGAAATAAAGAAGGTGGCAAAAACAATTTGCTGACTCTGTGGCTACAAAATAATTTCTTCAATTCCACCTATAAAATGGTATTAAGAGGTAATTTCTCATTGAAAAAAAAAAAAAAACAAAAACAAAGTTTTGAGATAAAATTGCATGATAAAGAGAAATTCTAACATTTTCCCGTATATGCCCAGGGCACCTCTTACGCAGGCCCTTTTATTCAGAGCAACAGACAGGCTGCCAGAGGGCTGGTTTGAAGTTCTGCTCCTCTCTCGGGTCCACCCTGCAATCCCAGCCAGGAGCAATGGGGAGGAAGGGGAAACCAGGTAGAGGGGAGAAGGCCTTGAGGAATTTTACTTCAACTCTATTTGGATTAATGAGTTTGTCCACTGTGTCCATGAGATGGTTTTTCACGTCATACAACAAACCCAAAGAAAAGAAAAAAGATAAACATAGTATCATGTTCAAAAAGAGGCTGGTAACTAAATATAAACATGGTTGTGCTTTTTTCCATAGCTACAGAGATATGTAAGTATTCTCCAGACTTTAATATTATGCAGGAATTAACAGTGCTCTTCACCATATTTCTAAATTTCTTGAAATCATTTGCACTGACTTTCATTTCTGTATTTACAAATGTGTCAACAGCTTATGTTAAAACCAGACATACTAATTTTCACATCTTTTCAATCTAACCAAAATTGTCGCTGTATACCTGTACTATTACAAGCTAATTGATGGCTCCTGATGGTTTCCATTCTGGATGAATTCAGACATACTAATTTTCACATCTTTTCAATCTAACCAAAATTGTCCCTGTATACCTGTACTATTACAAGCTAATTGATGGCTCCTGATGGTTTCCATTCTGGATGAATACTCCCAAACTACATTATGTCTCAAACTGAACTACTGACTAAATTATATTTTCTACTATTAACCATGGGTCATACCTTTCTCCAATTCTTTGTTCCTGTCAACTCTGTCATCATAACAAGAGTCAAGAGTTGTTGACCCCAAAAAGTAGCAATGAGGAGACTGTATTCCTCTCCTTCTCTGGCACTACTGGAAACATCACTGGGCCCTCATGTCCCTGTTAATCATATCACCAGAAAAGCAAAGGGACTTATACACTCCCTGTCACTCTCTCTGCTCTAGCCATAGTGGCCGTTCTCTACTTTTTACACAAGCACATTCCTACCACAGGTTCTTTGCACATGTGTTTCCCTCAGCCTGGAATGCTCTTCCTCCAGTATTCTCATGGCTAATTTCCAGCCTTTATTCAGTTCTGTGCTCAGACATCTCATTAGAGAGGTCTCTGCTGATCACCCTTCTAAAAGAACAATCACCCTTACTGTAAAACATTTTCCTGCTTTATTATTTCTCATGGCATTTATTATTTTTTAAATACATCTACTCTCCCTCCCCCTAGAATATAAACTCCATGATCATAGGGTCTTTGTGTGTCTTCAGCTGCATCAATGTCATTTTTATCAGCACCCAGTACATAGGAGGCACACATTAAATATTTCCTAAATGAATGAATAAATAATTGGAGGAGGTGATCCTTTTGTTTCCATTTTACAGATGGGAAAAAAAAGGCATAGAGAAATTTTAAAACTTTCCTGCGGCTGGCTGATAAACACTGAGTTTGAATTTGAACTTGGGTCTAACTACAAATTCTACTAACTCCCTTCACTATTTGATACTAATTCTGTAATAACACTCCAGGAAAGATGTGATGGCTACATAGAAAATTGTGTGGATCTGTTCATTGGATCAGGACCGTGGGACTTTATCAGGATGACAGGCTTGTCCCTGCCACAAGTGACCTTGGCTGTCATCATTAGCAGAAAGAGATTATTTGGTACCACCTCATGGGATGAGAATGGGTCAGGGAAAAGCTGGTTAAAGGCCCTGACGCCATGTCCAGAGGGAAAATATTCCACTAGATCATTAATTCAATCATCTTGCCTGTAATTTCAAAATTAACTTCCATCACTGACATTTCTTTTGGTAGTTCTCAAAGAATACTGCCTCCCAGTGAGATAAACCAGATATAGCAACTAAGGAGGTGGGGGACTGTGTTTCTATCCAGCCACACATAAACGTTTCATGGCTGTTAGATCTCTAAGCCATCTTCTGTTATAATCTGAGATCCTAAACTCTACTTTGGGGGTCCAAGGCTCTAAGACATATGCTTAGGCCCCAGGAAGGCTCCTCGCTGAATCTAATATAACCCATCAAGCATCAGGGGGCACATTCCTGGGAGATCTTGTAGGGTACGAAGTCATTTTCTGGATGTGGATGTATGTGCTTTAATTTTCTCTCCTTTAACACCCCACTTCTGTTCCACTCTTTTAGGCTATCAAAGAGAGAAAGAAGTCTCTCAAGAAGGTCATAAAACATTTCCTGAACATGTTAGAGGCCCTTTGCATTGCTCAGGAGGTTTGTATCTCCTTTGATACAAGTGACAACTGAATAATCATAATGCCTCATACATAAAAAATAATACCTAACAACAGAAATAAGCCATTCACCATGTGACACCCTGCATTGCTGTAGAGCCACCACCAAGAACAAGGCCCTCACCAGATGTGTTCCTTGGACTTTGGACTTCCCAGCCTCCAAAACTGGAAGCAATAAATTACAAATTAATAATTTACAAATTAAATAAAGAAATACATTACAAATTAATAATTAACAAATTAAAAAGAAATTACAAATTAATAATTTACAAATTAAAAAAAAGAAATGAACAAAAGCAAGTAACCTAGTATATTCAGTAAGAAAACATAATGAGAGATTCTATTCATTATTGCTAAAAAAAATATATTAAATATTTAAAAATTTACTTAGGTGAATGGAACCTTCAATATGAAACCACAAAACTTTATGGTTAAAATAAAATTTGATTTGATGAAATGAAAAGGTATGCATTGTTACATAATAAGAATACTCATATTTGTAAATGCTTATTCTCCTAAATTTAACTTACAGATTTAATGTGATATTAATTAAAATTTAGAGTTTCAGAATTCGACAAAATTGCTATAAAATTAATCTGGAAATATAAACAGTATGAAAATTTTATTCTGGAAAGGAATCAAGTTTTAGTAAATGTTATAAAGCAGAATTAATTCACTCTGGTACTGGTTCAAAAAAAAGAATGTAGCACATAGAACAGTCCATAAACAAATCTTACTATATGAAAATGTGGCGTATGATAAAGCAGACTTTCGATACAATAGGAGAAAAGTGAGATTTTTAAGCCCATGTCTGCAATATGTGGGTAATGAATCAGAAAACCATTAAGATCCACAGTAAACATAAAAAGATAGATTCTGGATGGGTAATTGTAGACTTTCGATACAATAGGAGAAAAGTGAGATTTTTAAGCCCATGTCTGCAATATGTGGGTAAAGAATCAGAAAACCATTAAGATCCACAGTAAACATAAAAAGATAGATTCTGGATGGGTAATTGAGTGAAATATTTCATTTTAAAATTAAAATCTAGAACTAGCATGTAATAAAATAATCTACTTCCTTTACAGAATAGCACTTATTCATGCTTTGAACAATAATATCTGTATATTGTATCAAAATTACTGAACTTCAGAACAATGAAAACACCACCATTTAATAGACTACAGAAAGACTTTGTATCACTTTGACAAAAGGGTTTATACCTCATTGAAATGTAGGAAAAAAACAAACCTCAAATAAAGAAGTGGGCAAAGGACATGAATAAATGATTTATATCAGAATAAAATTAAGACATATGGAAGGGATTTTATCTCTTCTAGTAAGAAATGATAATTAAAGCAACTGTGATACATTTACATCTGTAAAATTTGCAAAAATGGAAAAAAAAAAGTAACGCTGTCAGATTTTTGCAATTTAGCTGATGCGATCCTGTACAAGGTGGCACCAAGCACAACCCTTCTGCAAAGCAGTATGGTAATATGGAAAAAGAGCTGTAATGAAATCCATAATCTTTGCTGTAGTAATTCTACTTCTGGGGATCGTTCAAGAGAAGTGAAAAGGTATGTACACAGTTGTGATAAGAATATTATAATGGGTGTAACAAAATAAAAAACCTGGAAAAACCTAAATATACAAAAGAAAAATATTGTCTAGTAAATCATGAGGCTTCTTCAGGATGTTCTATCCTGCAACCATTAAAGAAAGCAATTACAGAGGCTACATAGAAGCACAGAAAAACGATCATGACATGCCACTGTGAAAAAAGCAGAATAAAAAATGCCTTCAATTCTTGTATGAATATGCGAGAATAAGGAAACCTGTAAAAATGAAACAGCCGT